CCTGGGGTTAGTGGAGGTAGGGGGGCAGTGGGCTTACCTGGCTTTTCCTTCGCCTCATTTTATCTCAGCAACAGGTAACAGTAATAGAGCCAACTGTGACCAGCTTTCTTGTCCCTTCCCCAGAAGCTGGGGAAACCATGCCCCCCGATACCTCCAAGATGCTGAAGCTAGCACAGCAGTGTCTGGAGAGGGCCCAGTCGACAGCCGCCAAGCTTGGTGGGTCCCTGCAGTAGGCGCGGCGCTCCTGGGTCACCCCAAACCTGCATCCCCTTTGTGGGGTGTGGGCCCACCTGCTGACCCCTGCCGATCAATGGCTTGCAGGGAAAACATGCCTGAAGCCAGCCATGCCTGCGGCTGCTCCCAACCCCCAGCCTGCCGGCCGACACCGACGTGTGTATTCAGACGAAGGAGGGAAGCTCTCTCCTTTTCTTCCGCCCGAGATCTTCCAGAAGCTTCAGGGGGCAGAGTCACAAAGCTCTAAGAAGTAAGATGGGCAAGATGGGAGCTAGGCTGAGGATGGGATTGGGTTTTTGAGGCTGAGGAAGATGAGCTGATCACGGGAATATGCTCTTGCCTGACAAAAGCAAATGGGGGCCAGGTGAGGTGCTCATACCTGTAATCCCAGCGCTGTGGGAGGCTGAGATGGGTGGGTCACAAGGTCAAGAGTTCAAGACCAGCCTAGGCAAGATGGTGAAACCCCATCTCCACTAAAAATATGAAAATTAGCTGGTCGTGGTGGCAGTCGTCTGTAATTCCAGCTACTCAGGAGGCTGAGGCAGAGAATTGCCTGAACCCAGGAGGCGGAGGTTGCAGTGAGCTGAGATTGCACCACTGCACTTCAGCGTGGTCAACAGAGTGAGACTGAGTCTCAAAAAAAAGAAAGAAAAAAAAATAGGCATAGTGGCGTGCCCCTGTAGTCCCAGCTACTAGGGAGGCTGCTGTGGCAGGCTCGTTTGGGCTTGGCAGGGTGAGGGTCCAGTGAGCCATGACTGAGCCACTGCATTCCAGCCTGGGCAACAAAATGAGACCCTTTCTCAATTAAAAAATATATATATAGAAAAGAAAAAAGGCTGGGCGCAGTGACTCACGTCTATAATCCCAGCACTTCCGAAGGCCAAGGCAGGTGGATCACCTGAGGTCAGGAGTTCGAGACTAGCCTGACCAACATGGAGAAACCCCATCTTTACAAAAATTACAACATTAGCCAGGCATGGTGGCACATACCTGTAATCCCAGCTACTGGGAAGGCTAAGGCAGGAGAATCGCAACCCGGGAGGTGGAGATTGCGGTGAGCTGAGATCATGCGATTGCACTCCAGCCTGAGCAACGAGAGAGAAACTCTGTCTCAAAAAATGAATAAATAAATGAATAATTTTAGCTGGAAACAAGAATAAATTATATGTATATATGGGCCGGGCTCCGTGACTCACACCTGTAATACCAGAACTATGGGAGGCCAAAGCGGGCAGATCATGAGGTCAGGAGTTAAAGACCAGCCTGACCAACATGGTAAAACCCCATCTCTACTAAAAATGCAAAATGAGCCGGGCATGGAGGCTGAGGCAAGAGAATTGCTTGAACCCGGGAATTGGAGGTTGCAGTGAGCCGAGATTGTACCACTGCACTCCATCCTGTGCAATAGCACGAGACTGTCTCAAAAATATATATATGTTGTAAATGTACGTACAAATCCTTACATACACACAAAAGTGAGCAAACAGGTTCTTTTTTTTTTTTGAGATGGAGTTTCGCTCTTGTTACCCAGGCTGGAGTGCAATGGCGCGATCTCGGCTCACCGCAACCTCCGCCTCCGGGGTTCAGGCAATTCTCCTGCCTCAGCCTCCCGAGTAGCTGGGATTACAGGCACGCGCCACCATGCCCAGCTAATGTTTTGTATTTTTAGTAGAGACGGGGTTTCACCATGTTGACCAGGATGGTCTCGATCTCTTGACCTCGTGATCCACCCGCCTCGGCCTCCCAAAGTGCTGGGATTACAGGCTTGAGCCACCGCGCCCGGCTGCAAACAGGTTCTTAACAGCAGAGAAGACACAGCTGAAGAACAAATTCATGTATTGGAAAAAAGGTTAAAAGATACCTGCAATGAATTACAAAAACAAAGACAGAAAGCAAGAGATGCAAAGCCTAATGCGTTCACTGGAGTTCCAGAAAGAACAGAAAGAAAATGGGAGAGAGGCATTATTAGAAGGTAGAATGGCAGGGCCAGGCGCGGTGGCTCACGCCTGTAATCCCAGCACTTTGGGAGGCCAAGGCGGGTGAATCTCGAAGTCAGGAGTTCAAGACCAGCTTGGCCAAGATGGTGAAACCCCGTCTCTACTAAAAACACAAAAATTAGCCAGGTGTGGTGGTGGGGGCCTGTAATTCCAGCTACTCAGGAGGCTGAAGCAGAGAATTGCTTGAATCCAGGAGGTGGAGGTTGCAGTGAACCAGGATCACGCCATTGCACTCTAGCTTGGGCGACAGAGCAAGACTCCGTATCAAAAAAAAAGGAAGTTAGAATGGCAGACAGTTGTCTAGAACTGATGAAAGGCACAGAGACACGAATGCAAAAAGCCCAGTGAATCCCAAGTGGGATAGAAAAGAAGGGCCCACTCATGTCCCTGCGGTGGCTGGGCTTGGATTCCAGTCACCCCGTTTTGGCAAGCGCGGCTTTGAGGCAGGATGGCCAGCTGTAAGGCTGTCTTTCCTCCTCCTGTCCCCACCGCCACCCTCCATTGTCCCTGACAGTCGGAAGGTAAGAGGGACCAATGCTTTCAAGGTGGAGTGGCTGTTGGCCACTGCTTAAAGGAGACAGTACACTTCTTCCTTTCATGAGTCAGAAACTCATCTGGCTATTTGACCCATATAGTGCCTTTAAAGCAGGGGTGTCTAATCTTTTGGCTTCCTTGGGCCACGCTGGAAGAAGAATTGTCTTGGACCACACATAAAATATATTAACAGTAATGATAGCTGATAAGCTTTTAAAAAATTGCAAATGCCAAGCACGGTGGGTCAAACCTGTAATCCCAGCACTTTGGGAGGCCTAGGCAGGCAGATTATGAGGTCAGGAGTTTGAGACCAGCCTGGCCAACATGTTGAAACCCTGTCTCTCTAAAAATACAAAAAATTAGTTGGGTGTGGTGGCACACGCCTGTAGTCCTAGCTACTTGGAAGGCTGAGGCGGGAGAATCACTTGAACCCAGGAGGTGGAGGTTGCAGTGAGTCAAGACCAGACCACTGCACTCCAACCTGGGTGACAGAGTGAGACTTGGTCTCAAACCAAAAAAACCTTAACTTCCACTTCCTGGGTTCAAGCGATTCTCCCGCCTCAGCCTCCCAAGTAGCTAGGACTACAGGCGTGTGCCACCACGGCTGGCTGTTATGTATTTTTGGTAGAGAAGGGGTTTCACTGTGTTAGCCAGGATGGTCTTGATCTCCTGACTTCGTGATCCACCTGCCTTGGCCTCCCAAAGAGCTGGGGTTACAGCCGTGAGCCACCGCACCCTCAGTGATGGTTTAAGAAAGTTTAGGAATTTGTGTTGGGCTGGATTCAAAGTCTTCCAGCCCTTGGGTTGCACAAGCTTTTGCTTTGACAAGATTCATGTTTTGTTGAACACACGTAACTAATCTCCATGAAAGTCCAGTGGTGCAACTTCTCTTGAAAAGTCAAAAGTCCTGGCAATACCAAAACCTGTGCTTTTTGTTTTTTTGAGATGGAATCTCCCTCTATTGCCCAGGCTTGAGTGCAGTGGCTGGATCTTAGCTCACGGCAACCTTGCCCCCCCAGGTTCAAGCATTTCTGCCTCAGCCTCCCAAGTAGCTGGGATTACAGGTGTGCAGCACCATGCCCAGGTAATTTTTATGTTTTTAGTAGAGATGGGGTTTCACCATGTTGGCCAGGCTGGTCTCAAACTCCTGACCTCAGGTGCTCTGCCCGCCTCGGCTTCCCAAAGTGCTGGGATTATAAGAGGGAGCCACTGTGCCCGGCCAAAATCACTGTACTGGCAGGGCAGGCAAGAACAGGCAGGTGCTGCAGCCCACCCCAGATGGCTCCCTGCCTGCCCCCATTACCACCACCACCTCCCCTCCTCCTCCTCCTCACCTCCTGGCTTCGGGGCCAACAGGGAGGATGAGAGAAGCTCCTTTTGTAGCCAGAACACTGCTGGGCTTCCTGGGGTCTAGACAGCAGTTCATCACATTTCCAGAGAGCTGACGCCGTTGGAGGAAGCCTCCCTGCAGAATCAGAAGCTGAAGGCTGCGTATGAGGCCCGGATGGCCCGGCTAGACCCCAGCCAGGCTATGCAGAAGACATCCCTGGTGAGTGAGGCCTAGGGAGGGCCTGGCGGTGCAGGGGAGCCGGCCTTACTCCCTCCTTCCTCTCCCAGACCCTCTCTCTACAGCGGCAGATGATGGAGAACCTGGTGATCGCCAAAGCGCGGGAGGAGACAGCACCCTTTCTGACCACCCTGGTGGTCTCTGGGGAGAACTCAGTGTGGCCATGAGCCAAAGGCAGAGAATAGGGTAGCAAGGGTAGCGGAGGTTCCAGGGTCGGGGTACAGGGCTGAGGGGCCTCCTGCTTTGCAGAGGGATGGCCTCTGGGGAAGGTCCCCGCCCCTATTCCCCGGGCCCTCTGGCTCTGCCCTCCTGCCTTCAGCACAGGCTGCCTTCTGCCCCAGAAGCCTTCCCTGGGGACTGCCCCTCACTGAGGGGGTCCCTGGGACGTCCTGGCGGCTCGGGGTGTGGTTGCAGGTGTGGGGCGGGGGTGGGAGCTGAAAGCCCGCTCAGATCCAACGTGCGTCCCCTTGACTCTGCACCCAGCTCCAGAGGAAGATGGAGGAGCGCCGGTTGCGGCTCCAGGAGGCCGCCAACAGGTGCGACTCCTTCCCGGTCCCCCGCTGCAGAGACAGCCCGGCCCAACCCCGTCCCCAACCCTGGCCCCGGCCCAGGCCCCGGGATCCACCGTGCGCCTTCTTCCCCAGGAGGTTTTGCAGCCAGGTTGCCCTGACACCGGAGGAGCGGGAGCAGCGGGCACTTTACGCAGCCATCCTGGAGTACGAGCAGGACCACGTGCGTCCCCCGCCAGCCAACAGGGTCCAGGATTTGCAGGAGGGTCCCAGTGAGGCGGGCGGGGCCAGGGCCGCATGGGAGAGACCCGGTGAGGGGTTGGGGCCAGGCTTCAAGTAAGGTCTCCCTCTGGTGGGGGTGGGTTGCGCGGCCTGCTGGTGCTGGGTCTCCTGCACCCCAGGACCGTCTCCCACAGTCTCTTGGGGCAGGCACTGGTGGGAGATGGGGCATGTCTGGTCGTGGGGACCCATGTGCTTCCCTCCAAGGCCCCCTGTTCCGCAGGACTGGCCGAAGCACTGGAAGGCCAAGCTCAAGAGAAGCCCGGGGGACCTGTCGCTGGTGACCAGCCTGCTGTCACACCTGCTCAGGTAGCTGGGCCTCGGGCACCACTGAGCCCCTGTGTGGGCTGGGTGCCGGGGAGGGGCTGGACTGACAAGGAGGAGGCTGCCGCCCTGCCCCAGGGACCCCGTGCCCCAGCCACATGGACACCACAGGTCCCTTCGCGCTGAGGACGTTTCCTCAGCTTCTACAGCCTCTGCAGACCATTCACTGTCAGGAGGTGACGCGAGTCACGTCTCTAAACCGGGTGTAGCGCGGCTCCGCTGTAGACTGGTGGGGGCCCCCGGGAGGGCGGCACGGCGGCGGGAGGCCGAGGCTGGCCGCGTTCTCACGCCCTCCTCTCCCGCAGCCTCCCTGACCACCCGATTGCGCAGCTCCTGAGGCGGCTGCAGTGCGCGGTGTACAGCACCCTGTACCCCGCGGTGAGCAGGGCGGCCGCACCAGCCCCGGGCTGCTGTCCCCCGACCCCCAACCCTGGAAGCCGGCGGCTGCGGCCCTCGCAGAGCCTCCACTGCATGCTGTCCCCGAGCGAGCCCAGCACAGCCCCGCAGCCCCAGGACAGCCCCCCCACGCCCTCACTCCACCCCCGCGCCGCGGGGCCTCCCTCACCTGTGGGGGACATCACGTCTGGCCTGCCGGACAAGGACAGCTCATTCGAGGACCTGGAGCAGTTTCTGAGGACGTCTGAGCCGCAGGGCCGGGGCCGGGGCCATGGGGGGCAGCCCGAGCCGCAGCTGCAGCAGCTGAAGAGCGCGGTGGAGGACATCCACAATGCCATCGGTGAGGCCAGGCCTCCACGTCCCGGGCCCCTCAGCCCTCACTGCCGGAGGGGCTGCGGCTCATCACCCCTGCTTGTTGGTCCATCTCAAGCTTCTATTTGGGGAAAGGCCTGTCGGTCAGAGCCTCTGATCAGACTCGTGTCCACCCAGCCCAGCCTGCAGGTGGTGATGGCCCCATGCCTCAGCCCTTCTCAGTTTGTAAATGGAGCAGTAGAGACGGGGTTTCACCACCTTGGCCAGGCTGGCCTCAAACTCTTGACCTCAGGTGATCCCCCCGCCTCGGCCTCCCAAAGTGCTGGCATTACAGGTGTGAGCCACCACGCCTGGCCTAGGGTTCTCTCAGAACCAGTGAGGGAGGCCAGCAGCCCAAGGCCCCATTCTGGCTGTGCCGCCCACACACACGACCTTGATCAGGGCCCCCACCCACAGGGGGCTGATTCTAAAGTCTACCCTGGTTCCTGCAGTTTTGGGTAAAGGCCCTTTCGAGAAAGGGCTTGTCCTCCATTCTCTTCTCAGGCCACTGGCCGAAGCAGGCAGTAGCTGTAGGTGACAGTTTCTGCTGCCAGACTCCCTGCCCTGGGCCCAGGAGCCTCAGGGGTGGGTGCAGGAGGCTTGAAGCTGCTGGAAAGAGGACCAGACAGGGCCACCCCACTGCTCCTGGACGCTGCGGGTTGCCCTGCTCCTCAGAGAGCTTGCTCAGCAGAGGAGGCCCCATGGCTTCGAGCCACTTGACCCAGCAGGGGAGGGGCCTGTGTGGATGTCCCCGGCTCTGTTCCCAGCAGACAGGCTGCTCTCGCTGACCCTTCTGGCCTTCGAAGGCCTCAACACAGCTGCCTCCAAGGACCGCTGCCTAGCGTGCATAGAGGAGCCCTTCTTCTCCCCGCTGTGGCCTCTGCTGCTGGCCCTGTACAGGTACAGGCCCACTCCCACGTGGCCTGGCGTCTGCCCGCCCAGTACCCCTGGCACGGCCTCCTCTACTCAGTCCCCAAGACTCGTGTTTGCTGCCCTGGCCTGTGCTTCACCCCGAGGCCATCCTCAGGGACTTCCAGTTTGCAGGTAGGGCTGTGCCCACCTCCCATGCCTGGGGGCTTGGGAACATGGAGGCTTTCTGCTTGGGATACATAGCCAGTTTTCTCCAGGAGAGCTCCAGGGACCTCCAGCCACAGCCCTGCCTCTGTCCTCAGGGCAGGATCCCTGGGGCAGCTTAGCCTGGCCTCTCCCTGCCCCAGGAGTGTGCACCGAGCCCGGGAGGCCGCTCTGAGCAGGAGCATGGAGCTCTACAGGAATGCACCCCCCACCGCCATCGGCATCCCCACCAAGCTCCTCCCCAAGGACCCGGAGGCCAAGGGGACCTACCCCTACTGCGCTGCGGCCCAGGAGCTTGGACTGCTGATCCTGGAGAGCTGCCCCCAAAAGAAGCTGGAGTGCATAGGTTAGCAGGTCCGAGAGGCAGGCTCCCATCCCGGTGGGTGACCTGGAGCTTGTGTCTTCACCACTGAGCTTGTCACATGCGGGGTGGATGGGACCAGGACAAAAGTGGAGTCAGAGCAATATCCCCAGGGTCACGGCAGCTCTTCCCAGCCCTGCACATCAGGAAGTGGGGGTGGGGGGTGGGGGGGGTACGTGGGCAGGGTGTGAAGGGGGGCTCAGCTGCCAGGTGGGGCAGCGGCCTGGGTTCGCTTTCCCATCCCTGCTGGGTCCCCCTGTGGCATCCCCAACTGCCCCTGAAGCCACATGTCTGCGGTGCAGTTCGGACCCTGCGGGTCATCTGTGTCTGCGCAGAAGACTACTGCCCCACCTCGGAGACCACGTCGCAGGCTGGACTGCCGCCCATCGCTGCAGCAGCCATGTGAGTCCCAGGAGGCCGAGTGTGGCCGGGGAGGAGGGCCCTGGAAAAGCACGGGGCGTCAGAGGGGCTGTCTTCCCGACCCTTAGCCTCGTGCCGCAGCTGGGCTGTAGCAGCAGGAAAGCCCTGAGTATGGGCCCAGCCCTTGCTCAGCAGAGCAGAAGCTCCCATTGAGGCACAGCCTTGCCACTCCCAGGTGGCTTCCTGGACCACTGGGCAAGAGGCACAGAGACTGCGGCCCGGACGGCTGCACAGCCGCTGGGTTTGCGGAGCAAGAGGCCCGGCCCACGGTCACGGCTGCTGTGCCCTTCCCACAGTGGTGCTGACGACCTGCTGCCCATCCTCTCCTTCGTGGTGCTGAGGAGCGGCCTCCCTCAGCTGGTGTCGGAGTGCGCGGCCCTGGAGGAGTTCATCCACGAGGGGTAGAACCCGGTGGGGGAAGGGTGGGGGCCTCTGTGGGAAGAGTGGGGACCTTGTCCCTCAGCCCGAAGGGTGGTTATCAGTGGCGGCTGGTGAGGGCAGTTACTTCGTTACAGCCATGCCGCCTTCAGGCAGCCCCCACGGGTGCCCCTGTGCAGTGTGCCTGCTGCCTCATGCCCCGTGGCCCTTCGCTTAGCCCAGCCTCTCCCACAGCAGGAGCTGGGGGCCGCCCCCTGAGCAGTGTCTGCCTGGGGAGGGGATGGTCAGGGGATCGAGGGCCATCCCTGGCTCTGCGGTCCAAGGACAAGCACAGAGGGGGTGGGAAAGGCCTCCTGCAGCCCAGCCACCCTGACAGCCCCACCTGCGCACCCGCACCACCCAGGCCCTGCACTGGGAAGGCAGACACTGCCTTCTGGAGGCCGGGTGATGCCTGCTGCCGTCCGTGCAGGTACCTGATTGGAGAGGAGGGTTACTGCCTGACATCACTGCAGAGTGCCCTGAGCTATGTGGAGCTGCTGCCCCGGGGAGGCCTGGCCAAGCAGTAGAGCCAGACCCAGGGCTCTGGCAGGGCCTGGCCTTGCCTCCCAGGGCCGTACCTCCTGCACCTAGAGCCACGGGGCCTACCGAGGACAGCCCTGGAGCCCCACACTGCTCTGCACACGGCGCGAGGGCGCGGGGGAGCTGGTCCATGCTGTGTGCTCTCCAGCTCTTGCCCCTTCCTCGCCCTACATCTAACCCTGGAGCTTGGGGTTGGCACCTCTGCCCCAACAGGATGGGTCTGAAGCAGCTCCAGGAGGAACCCAGCCCTGCTCTCCTGTGCAGGCGTCACAGGCTCTGAGAAGGGAAGCCGCAGGCTCCAGTGGGTGCAGGCTCAGCCTTGAGCGTCTGGCTGGGTCCTGCTCTGCCCTTCACTGGGGCAGCTCCTGGGAGGCATCAGGAAAGAGGGCACCATGAGCCAGCCAGCAGTGGAGGCAGCAGTCCAGTTTCTCTTCCCTCCGGCCCCTAGAAAGGGGAGTTGTAACCCCATGAAGCAGTTTCTTGTCTGAGTCAGGAGCAACGGCTGGTGGGGCCTGAGGCGCAGCTGGTATGAGGCTGAGCTCTTTGCTGATTGGCAGGGTCATCCCTGGGGGGGTCTGGGACTCTCGGCCCAGGACATTCCCTGCCCTTGCTCACCCTGGCAGTGGGCAGTGAACATTCCGGGACTCCTGGCCAACTCCCACCCTGGGCATCTGCTCCAGGTCTGTGCAGCCCAGGGGTCAGCCGTCCAATGGTTACATGCCCCCATGCAGCCACCCACCCAGCCTAAAATAAAAAGGTCACTGCTATCCTGCTCCGTGTGGCTCCCTCAGTCCCCACCCTACTGGCCAGGCAGCACAGCCACCCCTGCTGCCCATGGCAGAGGCTGCTGTAGACAGGTGGGGAAGAGCCACAGCCCAACCCCGAAACAAGCCTGCCTGACCTCTTGTGCCTTTGCCAGCCTCTGAGACCCTCTGCATAGAAGCAGGGTCCTCTTGAGACTGCGTGCCCTGGCAGGTGTGGGCTTCACCCTCTAGGACGGGCGAGCTCTGCAGGGCGTTGGTGTGCAGGAGAGCAGGTGTCCCTGGGGACCTGAGTTCAGAGCACTCACCTGAGGGTCTCAGGATTCATCGTCGTCTGTGCATGGGGCCACACAGAGGCCCTGAGGTGCAGAGGTGCAGAGGAGGCAGCCGGCCACCAGGCGTGGACAGCATGTGCCAGGGAGGTGTGGGCAGGTCATGGAGGGAGGGCGCTTCTGCAACGAAGGAGCCCCCGCCAGCTTGATATGCCATGGGGAGGCAGGTGGCAGGGCTGGTGGGGTCCCAACCCTAGATGCCACCAGAAGCTGGTTGTGGGGGTGCAGGTACAGGGCTGGAGGGGGCAGGTGCAGGGCTGGGGGAGGGGGTACCAACCCTACCTGCCACCAGGAGCTGGTTGTGTGGGGGCAGGTGCAGGGCTGGAGGAGGCAGGTGCAGGCTGGGGGGTGGGGAGCTGGCTCTGAGGCAGTGCAGGCTTCCTCAGGGAAAGGGTCGTAAAGGCAGCAGCTGTGGAGTTGCTAGGATGCTTGCACCCTCGGCAGTGGCTGGTTTACCCCTGAGGACTCCATGGGGAGACAGATGAAGCGCCTTTCCAGGTGGGGGCAGAGCTGGAGCATCTGCCTCAGCCCTCAACGTGAACACCAGCTGGCCCTGGTGCCCTGGGGCTTGGGTAGGAGCGCTGCTCAGGCCTCAGCGTTGGTGTCTAGAAAGTGGGATTTTAAAGTCCACTTAACAGAATGGTAGGAATGACCTGTGCCTTGAACAAATCTTGGCATGGGAACACCTGCTGGTTGGGCATGAGGGCTGGGGCGTGCTGGCGTAGCTGTCTCCCTGGCGTGAGATCAGGCAGGGTTGTTCAGGCACTGCTGCTTGCTGTGCAATTGTGCCCTCAGCCTGTGGCTCCCCCGTAAGACAGGAGTGAATAATAGTGGCTTCCTTTTAAAAATCCTGCAAATGAAAAAAACCAAGAACCCCCAATTAGAAAAACAGCAAAGACTACAAAAAAGCTATCTGGAGGGTGTGGACACCGAGGAAGGAGGGCTGAGCAGAACCCTGTCACAGTCAGGCCTGAAGAATATCTCAGCTTACAGAGTTACTACTCAGTTATCTCCTTTTATATAATCCTCTATATAAACATGTATTAGTTTATAGAATTAGGGCTTGAAGATTATGTTTATAGTGTTACTACCCAGTTATTTCCCTTTGTGTAGTCCTCTATATAGAATCATATAATAGTTCATGGTAAAGAATATTTCCCTACATACATACCTATAATTATATGTTAGTTCATAATCAGAGGAATGCCTGGAGCAGACACAGTGCAGAGCATGATTTAAGGGAAAACAGTTACACCGGGACAAGAACCCACGGCCCAGGTGGCAGCGTTCAGTGACGTAAAGATACCCGCTGGATGGCAGGCTTGGCGAGAGCCACTCCTCCTGATAAAGGAGTTGTAGGACCTTGCTCCAGTTCTTGTGGAAGGCTGCCCTCAGACCGGCAATCCACCCTGGTGACTGTGAACTTTATCAGCTCTTGCTACTGTGCTGCTCGAAAAGCATCTTCCCACAGAACCCATTGGAAGCTGCCAGAAGGTGGTGGTAACCTTGACAGCTCTGTCACTGCTGTGTGACTTAAAGCATCCCCCATAAATCTTCTTAGAAGTAGTTTCCCATAGATAGAAGTATCGCACACTGCAACCTCTTCACTGCGCACAGCCCACTTTCAAGCCTTGGAGACCTAATGGGGGTGGACCCCTTGTTTTATTACCCATGACCCTATCACTTAGAGATGATTTCACTCGGCCAGGCGCGGTGGCTCACGCCTGTAATCCCAGCACTTTGGGAGGCCGAGGCAGGTGGATCACGAGGTCAAGAGATCGAGACCATCCTGGTCAACATGGTGAAACCCTGTCTCTACTAAAAATACAAAAAATCAGCTGGGCATGGTGGTGCGTGCCTGTAATCCCAGCTACTCAGGAGGCTGAGGCAAGAGAATTGCCTGAACCCAGGAGGCGGAGGTTGCAGTGAGCCGAGATTGCGCCATTGCACTCCAGCCTGGGTAACAAGAGCGAAACTGCGTCTCAAAAAAAAAAAAAGAGATGATTTCACTCACTGCCCTGCCCCCTCACCTATATACAATAAATACTCACGCTTCTGGACATTCGGGGCCTCGCCTGTCTCTGCTCATAGGTGGCGTGGCCCCCCGAGCCCAGCTGCGTTTTCCTTGTACTTCTGTGTCCTGTCTCTTTATTTCTCAGATCCTGCACCTCAGCACAGCGTAAGGGACACCCCACGACCCTGTGGGCCATCAGCCCTACAGAGAGGAAGCAAATTTATTCTGAACTGGGTACAGTAGCTCATGACTAATTTGAGGTCATTTGAGGTTAGAAGTTTGAGACCTGTAAGGCTGTAGGGCCCCACAGGGTCGTGGGGTGTCCCTTATGCTGTGCTGAGTCACAGGCTCTGAGAAGCAAAGAGACAGGACACTGAAGAACTGGTGAAGAGCATCTGGATTTGGGGGACCACGCCACCTGTGAGCGGAGATTGGTGAGAGCCCCAAATGTGCAGAAGCATCTGTATTTATTAGGTACAAGGCAGGGGGCAGGGTCGTGAGTGAGGTCATCATCTATAGGCTTAATGATAGGGCATACATAGTCACATGAGTCACAAGCGAGGGGGCCACCCCATTATGTCACATGGGCGGAGAGGTGGGCCATGCACAGTAGGGGGCCATGCCATGCGTGGTACTAGAGGGTCGTGTACAGAAAAGGGGTCCACCCCCATTAGGTCACCAAGGTAAGGAGGTGGGCTGTGTGCAATGGGTGTCATGTGCAACACTTCTTACCTGGGGGCTGGAGACTTTAAAGGGTTTCTAATAGAAGGACACTGTAAGCCAGCGCAGTGGGAGCTGACAGACATGTGCTCTTCTCTAAGATATTTATGGGAGGATGATTTGAACCAGCACAGAAGTGAGAAAAGACTGACAGGGTGCACAGCCACCGTGACTGGTCACACAGAGGGGTTCTTCTCCCTCGGTTACTTCCAGGATCTCAGGCCTGAGGCCGACTTTCCACAGGAACCGGATGCAAGGTGCTACAACTCCTTTATCAGGAGGAGAGGCTCCTGCTCCAAGCCTGCCATACAGCGTCTGCCCTGTCAGGCAGGGACGCCACCGCCCGGGTCTTGGGTTCTCGTCCTGGTCTGGCTGTTTTCCCATGTACTGCTTCTGTTCTGTCTGCTCTGGGCATTCCTCCTACTACAAACTACTATATGGTTATATGGAAGGATTCTATAAATCAGCACTAAATGTGTCAGTACAGCTCCGACTACAATACCTGTATGATTGTATAGAAAGATTATATGAGACTAAGTATAATTATATAATTATATATATAAGCTAGATATGGTAAGCAGTAAGTTATACTTCAGGCACTAATTCTACAAACTAATATATGATTATGTATATAGGATTATATAAAGGAAATAGCTGAGTAAGAACACTATAAACTAAGATATTCTTCAGGCACTAATTGTGCCTGGGGTCTGGACATTTCTCCTTCCTCCATGCCCATGGGGGGTGGTACCCTCAGAGACCAGCCTGACCAACATGGTGAAAACTCATCTTTACTAAAAATACAAAAAAATTTGGCCAGGCGTGGTGGCACATGCCTATAGTCCCAGCTACTGCGGAGGCTAAGGCAAGAGAATCCCTTTAACCCAGGAGGCAGAGGTTGCAGTGAGCTGAGATTGTGCCACTGCACTCCAGCCTGGGCAACAGAGTGAAACTCCGTCTCAAAAAATAAAAACAAAAAGTAATATGTGGGTGCGGTGGCTCACGCCAGCAATCATAGCAGTTTGGGAAGCTGAGGCAGGCGGATCATTTGAGGTTGGGAGTTTGATACGAGCCTGGCTAACATGGCGAAACCCCATGTCTACTAAAAATACAAAAATTTGGGCCGGGCGCGGTGGCTCACGCCTGTAATCCCAGCACTTTGGGAGGCCGAGGCGGGTGGATCACGAGGTCAAGAGATCGAGACCATCCTGGTCAACATGGTGAAACCCCGTCTCTACTAAAAATACAAAACATTAGCTGGGCATGGTGGTGCGTGCCTGTAATCCCAGCTACTCAGGAGGCTGAGGCAGGAGAATTGCCTGAACCCAGGAGGCGGAGGTTGCGGTGAGCCGAGATCGTGCCATTGCACTCCAGCCTGGGTAACA